TATATATTAGAGGCCTGGTGCACAAAATTCGGGTGTGGGGTCCCCTCAGCCTGGCCTGTGCCCTCTTGCATTCCAGGAGCCCTCAGGGGATATCTGACTGATGGCTTAGGCTCGCTCCTGCCACTGCCGCTGTGCTCGCCAGCCATGAGCCCGGTTCAGGGCTTCTGGCTGAGTGGCGCTCCCCCTGTGGGAGTGCACTGACCACCAGGGGGCAGCTCCTGCATTGAGCGTCTGCCCCTTGGTGGTCAGTGCACGTCATAGTGACCGGTTGTTCCACTGTTTGGTTGATTTGCATACTAGTTTTTTTTTGTATAGGATATACTAGAGACCTGGTGCACAGATTCATGCAACGGTGGTGTCCCTTAGCCTGGCCTGTGGCTCTCCGACATACCCAAAGGGGTCCCGGATTGTGAGAGGGCACAGGCCAGGCCGAGGGACCCCACCGGTGCACAATTGGGGCTGGGAAGGGACTGTGGGATGGCTCCAGGATGTGTCCAGCCCGTCTCACCCAGTCCCAATTGGCTGGACCCAAGCAGCAAGGTAACCTACCAGTTGGAGCGTCTGCCCCCTGGTGGTCAGTGCACATCACAGCTACTGGTCAAACGGTTGCTTAGGCATATATATATATATACATATATATATGTATATATATGTATAAAGATTATCTATTTTTACAGAGAGGAAGGGAGAGAGAGAAACAATGAAAGATGTGTGAGCAAAACATCGGGGAATTGAACTGGTACCCTTTTGGTGCACAGACCAATGCTCAACCAACTGAGACACACTGGCCAGGGCGCCACTTATATTTGAGCTTCAGTTTCCTTTTTTGAAAGTTGGGAATAATAAAATAAATCAGGGAATAATAATGGCACAAAGCAATGCATATTGTGGGTGGGGGTGGGGGTGGGAGTGGTGCTCCCACTGTGCCAGGTACATGGGGACTGAGGCCAGAGTGTAGTAACCAAGTCACTTCTCAGCCCACAATGAATGCCTCCAGACATGAACTTGTTGAATAGAAAGGCAGATGGAAGCCTGCATTTTTAAGAACTATACATTTTAAAAGGTGGAATTCACAATAAAATCAACCATTTTATTTTTATTTTTTATTATTATTTTTTTAAAATATATTTTATTGATTTTTTACAGAGAGGAAGGGAGAGAGATAGAGAGCCAGAAAGAAACATCGATCAGCTGCCTCCTGCACATCTCCTGCTGGGGATGTGCCCGCAACCCAGATACATGCCCTTGACCGGAATCGAACCTGGGACCTTTCAGTCCGCAGGCCGACGCTCTGTCCACTGAGCCAAACCAGTTTCGGCTAAAATCAACCATTTTAAAGGGAATGATTCAATGTGGCATTTACTATTCACAATGTTGTGCAACCATTATCTCTAGTTCCAAAACATTTCCATCACTCCAAAACGAACCACTTACTAATTAGTTTTCCCATTACTCTTCTCCCAGCCTCCGCCAACCACCAATCTGCTTTCTATTTTCTTTAGTATTTGTAAAAATTAAAACTAATTTACATTCGGTAAAATTCACACTTTCCGTCTTTGGTTGTGAGTTTTGACAAATGCGAACAGTGGTATAAACACCACCGCAATCACAATATAAAGTTCCCTCATCCCCAGTGTTCCCTCAGGTTCCTTTGTGGTCCACCCAGCTCCTGGTAACCATCGATCTATTCCTACAGGTTTGCCTTTTCCAAAATGTTGTAAATAGAATCATATAATATTTAGCCTTTTGAATCTGGATTCTTTTACTTAACATTGCAACTAAATGTGGGGGTACATCTAACTAAATTTACATAAGTTGACTACGTGTCTGAAGAGAGGGACTTAGCTAGAATCTGGGCGGGGACGCCCCTTCCCAAGGCCAGTCCGGTGCGAGGCGGGCCCACGGGCTCCGTGCAGTTCCCAAGAGAGTCAACAGAGGGCGCTGCGGACCCGGAACACCTGGTTCAGTGGCTACAGGCCAGAGGCGGGGCCTAGGATGGGGCCAGGAAAGTCCTCCTCACCCGACTTGCCTGGAGGCCGTAGGCGGTCTCACCAGCGGGCAGCGGAAGTCGGTGTACCGCCCCTGGCCCCGCCTCCTCGCCTCGCCCCGCTGGGCGCTTCGGTGCGC